CCCGGGGCGGCGGCGGGCCGCGGCAGCTGGAGCTCGGCATGCAGGGCATCCTCATCACCTGCAACATGAACGAGCGCAAGTGCGTGGGGGAGGCCTACAGCCTGCTCAACGAGTACGGGGACCTGCTCTATGGGCCCGAGAAGGTGCGTGCGGCCGACAGAGCCCGCTGGCCTGGCTCCGCGCTCTGCAGGGGCCCGGCCTGGGCCCCGCCCCCTCCCCTGGGTCGCTTTGGTGCTGCTGCGTCAGGGTGCCCCAGCTACATCCGCGGGAGGAGCGCAAGTGCGTGGGGGAGGCCTACAGCCTGCTCAACGAGTACGGGGACCTGCTCTATGGGCCCGAGAAGGTGCGTGCGGCCGACAGAGCCCGCTGGCCTGGCTCCGCGCTCTGCAGGGGCCCGGCCTGGGCCCCGCCCCCTCCCCTGGGTCGCTTTGGTGCTGCTGCGTCAGGGTGCCCCAGCTACATCCGCGGGAGCCAGGTTATTATCTGGGGATCCCCTAGCCTAGAAGGGGGCCCCGTGGTGCGGCGCTGCAAGCGGGCAAAGGCCAAAAAGCTACTCCATGCCCCCAGGCATGTACAGGCTGTTTTGGCAGCACAGTCATGTGTAAACAGTTTGTGTCGGGCAGTGCAGTGAACCCCATACCAGCAGACGCCCGGGACTGGCTGATTCCTGTGTTCTTCTGGTAGCTTGGCCGTTGCTGAGCGATGTAACCTCTGATTTTTTTTCCCATCCATGTGCAGAACAAATTTTGTTATGTGCACCACCAATAGAAGCACAGGCTGTGGGCACTGTTAATTAGCTGGGAAGCACCTGAATCTCCTGGGTGGCTGCCCAAATGCTCAGCTGACAGGGAATACTGCAAGATCTGGTTGCCTCGCTGGGTACAGAGGTGGATTGGGGATATGGGATCTGGCTAGGAGGGGTGGGTGCAGGCAAAGATTAGCAGTACTAGGGAGTTTGGGTGTGTCTCCTGTCCAAAAAAGAAAGCATGCTAATGTTCTTGTTTGTGGATGTTAGAGGTAGGGATGTAAGATTCCATCTAATTAGTTACTGGTTAAACAAAGTTTTTAACCAGTTAAATGACTAAACAGAGGAAGGTATTCCCCCTGCCATGTGCAGGAGCTGCTCTGGCTGAACTGGAGCGCCCCTGACTGAGGCATGCCCGGGCTAGCTCTTCCACAGACTAGGAATGCAACAGTTTTTAAAATACAGTAACTGTGTAACTGATTGAAACAAACGACAGGACTATGCAGCACTTTAAAGACTAACAAGATGGTTTATTAGGTGATGAGCTTTCGTGGGCCAGACCCACTTCTCAGATCAAATTGTGGAAGAAAATTGGCATGACCATATATACCATTCCATTCCATGCCAATTTTCTTATATAACAGGCTTTTAAAATTAAATCACTAGACAGACAAAAAAATGAAATGCTGATTTCCACTGCAATAACTTCTGAGGCTGCTCCTAAAATGTCTCACTGCTTGAATTCTGGCTTTTAAGGCCATAGGCATAGTTGTTGCTGCAACTTTTTTATTGAGCAGTAGATGTGATTTCTTAACTGTTCACTAACATCTCATTTAGTGCAGCCTCTTGTTTCAACAGTTTACAGATCAAGATAACAGATTGTCAGGAAGTGAAGAGGAGGAAGATGATGTTGAAAGTGCCTTAAAGAAAGAAGTTGATCAGATTCGCACATCGACTGAACAGAAGCTGCGAAGATTCCAGTCAGTGGAGAGTGGAGCTAACAATGTTGTGTTTATTAGAACGCTGGGTGTAGGTGTGTAGTGAAATAACGGCTGCCCAGCACAACATGCACAAGATGCTTTTTAGTTTGCTGGACTGTGACACCACATGATTGCCAAAGAAGTGAACATACTGAATGTTCATTTATTGAACACTCTAGTGACTACAGCCATATTGGGATTTTTGCCCAAGCAGAACCAGGCTGACCCTTTTTAAATGTAAAAGGGTTTCATGTTTTGCTGAGCTCATGCAAAAAAAGGCATGCTGGTAGAAACAGCCACACATGCAATTCTGTTTCCAGATCCCCTGCCTTGTTATGAAATAACAAATATGAGCTGGAAGACCATATAGTGTATTGACAGTCCAATAGACACGAGTAGGGTCTGATCTTTCAGTCCTTGCTCAGGCAAAACTATTGGTGCCCGAGTAAAAAAAATCTGCAGAAGCAGACCTTCAGTGTTGTAACTTCTGGGTACTCTCCTATGCTTCACAAGCCAAAATTGTGGAAATAGTATGTACTCCCTACTTTCAGACTCCATACCATTTTCTAAGAACTCTACAGAAGTTCTGGTTCTGTTTATTTTTATTTGTAAGCAAGTTAGATTTGGTGCTGTATCGGTTTTTTAAAAGAAAATTCTTTTAATTTTTGTGCTCTTATATCATTCTCTTGTAGAACCTGAGAAGCTTGTGCATCATATATTAAAGGACTTGCATACTACTAAAAAGAAGAAAACAAGAGTTATTCTGCGCATGTTACCCATTTCTGGAACCTGCAAGGCTTTTATGGAAGATATGAAGAGATATTCAGAGACCTTCTTTGAGCCTTGGTTTAAAGCCCCTAATAAGGGTACTTTTCAGATTGTGTACAAAGCTCGGAATAACAGTCACATGAGTAGGGAAGAAGTCATCAAAGAATTGGCAGGTATGTATTTATCTGACACGGCATGATTGTAGACAAGAGTACCTAAGACCACATGTGTAACTAAGGTCAAGTTATTCAAGCAGGACAACTTGAATAGACGTAAATGGTGCAATACAGCAAACTCAGCCATATTGAATTATGACTTTTTTTATGTTCACAGAGCTTAAGGAAAAACACTTGAATGTGCCATTAACACTTCTTTCTGGTATCAGGTTTTCATTTTAACAGATTATAAATCAGAGGAGCATGCAGTCGAACTTTGTTGGATATAACTAACTATGACAATACCATTCCTGCAAATTTCCAGGATTGTATTAAAAATTCTTCTTTTAATATTGGGAAATGGTTTCCCTAGATTGTAACTTAGGTCTGGTCTATGTTACAGAGTTAGATCAATTCAGACTGCTTACATCTACCTATGGAAATGCCTATGACTGAATGTCACTCCCTTGAACATAACTGCCCCAGTATGCTGACACAACTGCACCTCCACAAGTGGTGCAGAGACAAGGTTGATATGGTTGAGTCAAAGCAGTGTCAATGTAGATTGATTGTGTCTACTGGCTTTCACAAGCTGTCCCACAACTTCTCTCACTGGCAATACAATCCGTGCAAGCACTCCTGGTAAGAACATGCACCACCAAAACAAGGAGCAAAGTGTAGACATGCACAAGCAATGTAATTACAATGGTGGTTGTTGCTGATTTAAATCAAGTCATCTTAATTTTGTGGTATAGATGTGGCCTTAATTAAACACACTGCCACATGAATTTAGAATTTTCTCCTTGATAGTTGTTGCGGAATAGTCCTTTGATTCAAGAGTGTGTTTCTAAGAGTCCCAATCTATCCTGCTAGTTTGGGCAGTTTAGTGACTGAAAACTCTTGATTGTTGCTGTCATAGCTGTACTAAGGTTTTGGAAACGGTTCTTTTGTGGAATTGGAGCTTGTCTTGGTTGCTACAACAGCAAGTTTCTCTCATTGTTTAGATAACTTACTGCCATTTTAACTATCCTCTCTATGATTTGTGGTATTTTTTTAGAACTTGTCTGATTAAAAGTCCTTGGACTTGGTGAGGACTCAATTGATATAAAATAAAATAACACCTCATTCGCACTCTTCTCTATGAAAATATTCCTTCAGTTTCCCCACTGATACAAGATTATTTCCTTTTGTTTCACAGGAATAGTGGGCAGCTTAAATCCAGAAAATAAAGTGGATCTTAATAACCCCCAGTATACCATTGTGGTAGAAATAATAAAGAATGTCTGTTGCTTGAGTGTGGTGAAAGACTATGTTTTGTTCAGAAAATATAATCTACAAGAGGTGGTGAAAAGCAACAAAGAGGAGCTGGTGCAGCAAAACCTGTCGAGTGCTTCACAAGGGAGAAGAGGACACTAAAGAAGTGAAACCAGAAGACAAAAGTCAAAGTGAAGAGGAATCTAAGCCCAATGAAAGCGACAATCAGCAGGCATAGAGAATCTGATAGAAACGGAAAACAAACACTAAAGATCACTATAAAATAGACTGGCTTAGGGTTCTGAAATGGTCGTTTAGAAAGGAGCTTAATTTTTTTATTTTAAATTTGCTTTTTAAAATATCCAAGTATTATAAAACAATTTTTTAATACTCCATCCTGTGTTTGCTGTTAGAGTCCGTTTTGTAGCACGCAGTGTCAGAGAGAATGGTGCTATTTGTCACTTAAAACATTTCACCCTGATTCTCCAAAGCCTTCCTTGTGTGGTCAATGATCGGTGTAAGGGTATGTCAGATATTACCATTCTGATCTGGTAGCATTTTATACTCACATACCACGTGGAAATAACTACCAGAGGGTGCAGGACTGACTTGCTGTCTGTGCCTCTGGACATTCTGAGATGCCAGTTATGCGGGTATTGAGAGGTCTGGAAAAGGACGGGCTCTTGCAAGGGGATTTATTTGAAAATACAATGTCATTTTGTTTTGGTGACATGACTTTGCCTAGCATGTAAACCTTGTTTTATTAAATACAGAACGAGTGATAAGCACCTGACTTCCAGTATGTTGTTCAGATGACTGCAAACCTAGTTTAAGACATATTAACATGTCTTGGAAATATGCTGGGTGTAGAAGAGAAATTTCCTCCCTCAAAATAGCTCAGGCTATGCCTACATTTGCAGTTTTTTCCTCTGACAATTTTGTTGGTGATAGAAAAGCACTAGTTTGTGTTTACACTGTTTTCCACAGTTATTGGAGTGAGTTTACACATGCAGCATTTTCACTGCAGATGAGAGAAATGCACTGTTATCGCACTATACAGTGCTCTGGGACAAAAAGCAAATCATTTCTGTGGCAAGGCTGGATATGTGCTGGAAGCACCCAGTCCTGAGGTAGGACTTCCTACTGTCCTGATTTTGCAGAGCACACTCTGTCTGTCTCTGTTTGCATTGTGGGAGGCAGCAGGAGCATTCCACACTAATGATTTGTTGTGTCCCAGAGCAGTGAACTGTGCCAGGGCCAGGTGTCAGATAGAAACTAACTGGTAGGAGTAGGCAGGAGTGCTGAGTTTTACTGGAAGGCAGTTAGAGATATAAAAGCAATCAAGAGTTTTCACCAACACATCAGCGCAAAAAGATTAATTGGGGTGGTTTTTATTTTTGTGCTGAAACTCAGCAGTTTGTGCAAAACATAGATTTCCAGTGAAGACATTGGTTTGTTTTTTATGCAAGAACCTGACTTAGCCCTAATAGTGTTATCAAACCCCTCTGTTACCCTTCTCCCTGAAATTCCCGTAATTTTCTAGAACAGAAAGATGCCAGTGTGGAAGTCGTGTATAATTGTTACAAGAGCACCCTGTGGCATGTCTTTCAAAAATAGCAATTTGCATCTTGGACAGAAGCATATGTGGATCATACCCAATCTAGAGCTGTGTTTCCAGTAGCTACCTGTAAACAGTCCATTTCTGAGGATACTTATTCCAAAGGCACCTTAAAAATTTCTCTATTAAGTAGTCTTGTTCATTGGTTTTATTTTAACTGGATTCATGAGCGAGTTAAACTTTTTAAAATTTCTTGATGTGAAATTAGCTCTCCGTATTTCATACCACCTGGTAGAAAAAGGGGTTAGCTTACGTTTTTGTACGGTTTCAGTTTCCCAAAACAAATGTTTTGCCTCAGATTGGAAATTACTACTGGGTTTTTCATCTTCCTGTAACATTTAAAGAGCAGGTCTCTTAAGTTACAGTAGCATTTTTGCAAAGATGAAAAAGTTTAACAAAGGTTTAAAAGTAACATTTTAATATAGTGCAGCTATAACTTGTTTTCCAACAGTATTGTTGCGATACACATTTTGTATAAATGTGTGGCTTAGGTATTTCAGGATACACTTATTTACAGGTGTTGCTCATGGAAGAATAATTGCTCCAAGTAATGCCAGCTGTATTGATCGTGGTTTAATGAAAAGGACATGTTTGAGCCTCATAAGTTCTGTTTTTATTATCTCTAATATTTGTAAAACTGTCTTACATTTGAAAATTAAACCTCCCGTATTCCTGTTTCTCTTCCACGCCTTCTTTTTCTAGAATTGATGCTTCCTTAAGCCCTGTTTGCTCACCTCTAGTGCTGTTCTTTTGATTCCAGGCCTGAAGAGACCATTCCACTCATTTACTGCGACCTGTATAACAGGCCATAAACAGCCCCAAACAATTCAGAGTTCTTTTAGAAAAACATCTAATTTTGATTTTAAAATGTTAACATGGTAGAGAACCTACCACAACCTTTGCTAAATTGTTCCATTACTTAATTGCTCTTTTAAAATTGTACACGTTTCCAGTCTGAACCTGTCTTGCTTCCAACTTCTAGCTGTTGAATTGTTATCCCTGTTCTGATAGATTGAATGGGGATTGTCATATTGTAGCAGGCTCGTTATTAAACATGTTTCCAATTTAGAGACTTCAAGTCAGTCTTTTGTGTGCTAAATAGTATGAGCTCCTTGAGACTCACTAGAAGGCATGTTTTCTGATTCTTTAATCATTTTGGTGGCTCTTCTCTCAACTCTCTCCCATTTATCAAAATCCTTCCTGAACTGTGGATACCAGAACTGGACACTGTATTCCATCAGAAGTTACCTTACCCCAGTGCCACCTGTAGAAGTAAAATAACCTTTCAATTCCTACACAAGATTCCACAACTTATGCATCTAATGATCACATTAGCCCTTTGGACCACAGTGCCCCATAGCTAACTCCTGTTCAGCTCTTCATGCCCCCCAGTCTTTTTCTAGAATGGATGCTTCCCAGGATGCAGCTCCCCACCCCCCCAAATCCTGTTAATCTGTTCTATATTCTTTGTTTCTATAAATATACATTTACCGGTACTCAAACATACATTGTTTCCTCATCGTTTATCAAGTGATCCACATGGTTCTGTATTAGAAACCTGTCCTTCCTCTTCATTATTTCCCATTCCCCCACCTTTTGCGTCAGCTGTGCCCTGTATCAGTAAGGATTTTGTTTGCTTCCAGGTCTTTGATAAAATTGTTAAATAACATTAGGGCTAAGAGGTGATCCCAGCAGATCTCTCAGTAGAAACATAGCCACTTAATGTGGCTCCCCTGTTAAATAGGTATCAAATTGTAAGTGTAGTTAAACCAGTTTTTAATCCACTTAAACTTGTGCCACATCGGTTTCATATGCTGGTTTTTAATCAAAAGGTCATACGTTACAAAATGGAAGTATATTATGTCATCAAGATTATCAGCCAAATTTGTGATCTTATTAAAAAAACTAAAATAGTCTGTCTGGATATAATTCCCATAAATCCATATTGATTAACATTAATTGTGTATTACTCTTCTTTAATTGAGTCATATCAGCTGTGTTGTTATACTTAATTCATACACTTTAAGGCCAATGGTCACCACTGTGAGAAACTAATATGATATGTACATTATAGGCCAAAGAACTTCCCCCACTCACTTCTGTAATAGAAATTATAAATCTGAAATTCTCAAAGCCATAGTTTAAAGGCGACAGTGAAACCACCCTTTACGTTTATTTAAACCAGCAAATGATTCATTCCCCCTTCAGAATGTGATGGGTTGTCACCCTTGGGCTACGTCTAAACTGGAATGATTTTCCGCGAATGCTTTTAACGGAAAAGTTTTCCGTTAAAAGCATTTGCAGAAAAGAGCATCTAGATTGGCATGGACGCTTTTCAGCAAAAGCACTTCTGGCGGAAAAGTGTCCGTGCCAATCTAGACACGCTTTTCTGCAAAAAAGCCCCGATCGCCATTTTCGCGATCGGGGCTTTTTTGCGCAAAACAAATCTGAGCTGTCTACACTGGTCCTTTTGCGCAAAAGGACTTTTGCTCGATCAGGAGCAGAATAGTATTTCCACAAGAAGCACTGATTTCTTACAGTAGGAAATCAGTGCTTTTGTGGAAATTCAAGCGGCCAGTATAGACAGCTGGCTAGTTTTTCTGGAAAAGAGGCTGATTTTCCAGAAAAACTGGCCAGTCTAGAAAGCCCCTGGAGTGAAAACTGGAAGCTGGTGAGCATGCTGTGCTCCCAAACCATTCAGCTGTGATAGCCTCACAAGCAGTGCTCTGCTAGTGCCAGCCAGCCCTCTCCAGGCCCTTTTTTCACTCAACATGACAGCAGGCGGTGTCAGTGAGTGCTTTACCTAAGCCAGTGGTTCCCAGCCTTTCTGAGCATACAGACTCCTTTTCAATCTATTAAAATTTCATGGGCCCTCCCAAACAATCCATTTTTGCTATCCCAGTTAAACCCTTCCCACCACTCTACTAGCTTTTCAACTGTCAGAGTGGGGTGATGTATTAAAAATGAGAGGGGAAAAAAAGGTAAAAAGTGACTGACCTGTTTACAAGCCAACTCCAGAGTATAGTCACAGCCTGTCAACTTCAGCGTGAGCAGAGGGATGTGCAGATTGTAGGGCATGGAGCTTCTCCGGTCCTGTTAGCTGCTTTTTGCCTGCGCTGCTTCCTCAGCTCCTGTCCCGTGCCCATCCATGGAGTGAGATGGCTCTCATGGCCAAAGGGAGCTCTGGAGCTCCCAGCTCCTCAAGGGCAGAACTTTGGGAGGGTAGGAGCAAGGGCGGAACTTTGGGAATTTGGTTGGGGGGGGGGGCCATGAGGTAGTCAGCAGCTGTTCCCTGGGGCATGCCATGTGACGGGCCAGTCGGCAGCTGCTGCCTGGATCAGGCCTGAGTGGTGGGTCCCATGCTGCCAGTCAGCAGCTGCTTCCCAGGGCTGGGGCACTTGGGCTATATCTACACTGGCGGGTTCTTGTGCAAGAGGTCTTGTGCAAGAACTCTTGTGCAAGAACTCGTCCACACTGCCATGTGCCAGATGTGCTTTTGCGCAAGGGCATCCATGGCAGTGTGGACTCTCTTGTGCAAGAAAGCTCTGATAGCCATTTTAGCCTTTCTTGCGCAAGAAACCCCTGCCACGTGTCCACACTGCCCTCTTGCGCAAGAGCTCCTGCACAAGAGAGCTTACACCTGTTAGAAAAGAGCATAGCTCTTGCGCAAGGAGCCCTGTCTTCCGATGCCGTACTGTAAATCTTGCGCAAGAGCGGGCGGGCAGTGTGGACGCTCTGCGGAAGAACGGCTGGTCTTGTGCAAGAACCCGCCC